TCAACTTCTGAAAGGGAGACTTCACAAAAGCTGTTCAGAAATCCCTGAAAAAAGATGTATACCAATAGCTCTTGGGGCTGCATGCATTCCCACTTGTAGGCAATCCTTGGGTGGCACAACAGTAAACTACTGTTGAATCAAACCCCAGTTAATTTTGACATTTAACTGAAATATCTGAATGGAGGCAGGCCAATAAATCTAGGGCTCGTCAGCGGGTGCCCAACTGGGTACTGAAAACCAGTTTGTACCAGTTGTGGTTTGTTGTGACATATGAATTCATAAGCGACACCTGTTGCACAGACCTGCCCCTAGCTGTAGGGATGGCACCTCACTGATCAGAGCCAGACAGGAGCCAAGAAGCAGAACTAGTGGGTTTATGCACAGGACAGGGTGTGCAACTTTTTGCTGGACTCCACAGGAGCATTTCTGGAGATGGAACAATTTCTGCCCACAGAGTGCCACTGTCTTGTTGCCCCCCCCCGACACAGCTGGAAAAGCATTTCAGGCTGCAGTGGGAGGCTGGAGGTGAGAAAATCACACTCCATGGGTGGAAATCCTTCCATTTTTCAAAAACGCTCTGATGGTTCCAAGCCATCATAGTTTAAGTAGGCCAGGTTAAGCGTAACATCTGAATGTAGCCTTAAGCATTTAATTATATGATGTTGCCAGAAGCTGTTCAAACTTATTTACATTTGTTTCCTCCCTTGGTTCTAGAATTACAGACCTTTTGATTGCTGTGTTTCAGACCACTCAGGATACAATATTCAAGTAACAAGGTATGTCAATGTATAAGCAGGAAGAGGAAAAACAGAGTGGGGGGGGGGGGGGGAGAACAAATATTGCCTATCATGTTACACAGCTATATTTAAAAATTAAATACAACAAATGTAAAATTCGGATGCATATACAATACATTTGTTAAGATTTCTAAAACTAAAAGTTTTTTTTAAGTACCACTTTTTGCCTAAGCGATACCATTGTTATGCACAATAACTTATACTTAGGAGGAAATAAAAATTCCCCATCTTCCACAAAATATATAATTATGACATTCACATTGATAAGTCTGAAACAAAATTTAAGCAAATATTACATATTACGTGGTAGCCTCAATTAATTTAATGCTTGAACGATAAAACCGAGGCATTTCCACATAGAAGACCTGATTATTTAAAAACAAGCAAAAGAATATTTCATTATTGTAACAGTTGCAGGCATAGCTGAACTAACTGCAAAAGAGTCACTGCTGCTCTATTTCATAGGCGGATAAAATTTTAAAAGTTACCAGTGGAAAAAGTGAGGGAATATACAAGGTTTTCCTTCCCCTTGAAGGGATTTTCCATGTTCACCTTCCTCAGGGGATTGAGCCAAAACCCAGTGTTCTTTTGAACACAGGTACAGTTAGTTTGCAGTGAGAGTGCAATATTACTGTACCTGGTCTCAGACTCAAGACACGCAGACAGCAGCCTCATCGCTGGACTGTACCCACTTGACACAGCAGGTGGGGAACAAATGTTAAAACTGTTCCTTTCCCTATTGATCCATCCACTTTCAGATCTAGCACATTTTCCTGTAACATTGTGCATGTTTCCTGTGTTTAGAAACATTTTTCTTTAAAAATATATACATACATGAGATAGCTTTCAACTAATCAGTCTCCCATCCACAGTCCAGCAACAGTACATAATCCAAGGAAATGGGGAATCGCACCTGTCCATTCTAAGCCAATACTTTGAAGTCAATCCTGATCAACCTCTATTTCTTGCTAGTTCAGTATTTTAAGAGGACATCAAATATTCAAGAAAATTGCACACTATACAGTACTGTAGCTGGGCCAAGAAAATAAAAGAGGGACTGGTTATTTTTTGGAAAAACCAAACTGATCAGGTGTCAACCCAAACCTTTTAACAAAGAACATGGTCAGAATATGCCATATTTCGATTGCAGCACTTGAGAGCAGCTATTCTATAAGCTTTGCTGGTAGGGAACAGCCATGTTTTAAAGCACGCCTTGGTTAGGAATTTTAAAAACAGCTCCTACAGCTGGTAAGCTGTACCAGATATCACAGGGCCAAGGAGGTGTCACTTAAAAAGTTAACTGTGGAACACAGTCAGGGATTCCATCATCGGCATGCTAGCAGTTTCCTGTTTCTCTCTTCTATATGAGACTAGCTGGTGGTCTGGTGCTATTTTTCAAAAGGCTCTTGGTTCTCTGTGACCCTTGAAGGGCATTCATTCTTGCCCAGGCTTGGATAAGACACTGGGCATTTAAGCTTTCCCTGCATCAGATAACAGCCAGAATCAGATGTCACTCAAAAGGTACTTCCCACATGGCTACAATGAATGGGCCTTGAACAGCTCCAATAAAGAGCTCTTGCAGGGCCATTCATGAACCATGTACCTCAAGCAAAGATGCAGAAATGGTCAACTGGGGTAGTAGCAGGGAAGCCAGTGAATGCCACTGCTTAGCTGGGTAGTGGGGGGAAATGGAGGGGGGATCAGCATCACCAGCAGTGTAATGACACTTCTGGCACAACCTAGAAATGACATCATCACGTCATGGGTAAGACTTTATAGTCTTTGACAAAAACTTTATGGTTGTATCACAGAGTTTGGGACAGATGCTAGAGTGTCACTGGTGACACAATTATGTTACTTCCAGGTCACACCAGAAGTGACATCATCCATGATCTCTCCCTCTAAAAGGTCAGTCTCCCACTGATTGACAGCCTTGGTGACATAGTGACATCACTTCTGATGCGACCTGGAAGTGACATAGTGACATCACTACCGGTGTGACCTGGAAGTGACATAAGCCTTGGGCTGGCAACCCTAGGTGGTGGAGAATCACTATGGGCTATTGATACATGAGCTTATTAGGAATGCTCACTGAAAACCGACTACCAACCAACTGCCAGGGTTTTGTAGCCAAAGCCACCAAAAAGGATGACAAATCCAAGCTTGTTGTTTTCACGCATAATGGAAGTCCCCCTCATCCGAGAGCTTCAGAGGTATACACCTTTCGAAATCCACTGAAATCAATGGGTTCAGAAGGGCATAACTCTGCTTAGGATGGCACTGTAAATCTCCACTACTGTCATCAACTTGTGTAAAAAAAAAGTATTCCTGTTCCACTGAAGGTTCCCTATGTATAAAGACACTAATGTAGGGTGTAAGAAATAAGCTGTTGTGCTTCACCTCATATGACCACAGTAGAAGAGACTGGCCACAGCCAACACTACCACACAATTTACCTCAGGAATCCAAGTTATGACTAGTCTCTGTCCCCTTCCCTCGATGTATTTGTTGTTTGGTAAACAAAATTAAAATGAATGATGTGTAAACTTTGATCAATTTAATTGGTAGTTGAATTGGCCAAAGTTTTAGTTAATAGGTCTATCTGCGTGTGCCCCCCACCAGTTTTAATTACTGAAGGCAAATTTTAATTAGAGGGATTGCCAGCTGAGATTGCACACTCCTCATATTTGCAAGAGTTACTGCCACAGGACATGACAGAAGGCTTTATTTGTTTTGGGGAGGGACCGTGGCTCAGTGGTAGAGCATCTGCAGGGCATGCAGAAGGTCCCAGGTTCAATCCCTGGCATCTCCAATTAAAAGACCAAGGTAGTAGGTGACTGGAAAGACCTCAGCCTGAGGCCCCGGAGACCCGCTGCCAGTCTAAGTAGATAGTGCTGACCTTCATGGACCAAGGCAGCTTCATGTATTCATGCATGTATTAAGTAGTTAACCTTATACTTCCCTTCAGTATCTAAAAAAGGCCCCTGGCACTGAGGTTTTGGGTGATAATTAGATTTATTTCACTTTGATTGCCATGTTAAAAACAACCAGATCAGCCAGTTAAAAATATAAAATCTTAGCTCAATGTACACTGTTATTACAAGGTGACCGATGAAAATATTTAAGAACACCACATTAGATGAAGGGCCTCTTTGGATGTTATGCAGGTGATGTGGGGAGAGGGGTCTCCTGTGCTGCTGAGGAGAGACATCTGATGTCACACGGGAGGAGTCCTTAGCATTACCCACTTCCTAGAAATGGCAACGACTGTGTAGCCATGGCAGCCCTTTCCAAGGGCCTAGGCCGCTTGACATTCCCTCAGTGCTGTGGCATTTCTTACTCTACAGTGGTCTGTATGTTGCTGGAAGAACATCAGGAAAAGGTTCTTGGTACTGGTGGATAAAAAACAGGGCTAGAAATCTTGGGTGCCTCCTTTGGGCAGGCCTATGTTAAGCTCTAAAAATCCCCATTCAAAACGTGTGCTGTGATGTCATGGCTGAACTCCCGTCGAGGTGAGCAATCTACCAGACAGAGAACCCCTGCAGCCACCATTCACTTCAATGGGGCATAAACTCTAAACATTAAAAAAGAGAGAGGCATACATGGTGTTTTGTTTTTTAAAAAAAACACAAAAAACAGAAAGCTGAATTTTTGTCTTAATCCCCTTAATGTTCTGGTCAAGGATTCACCTGTGTTGGCATTCAGAGATTACAATACAAGTACCCTGAATGCCATAAGGTGCTGTGGGTGCGTGGGTGTGCTGTGGGCAGATTATGTCAAAGCAGATTCCAGGCCATGCATTCCTTTTTGCACTAAATAAAAAAAACATTACAAGAATCATTAACAACCATTAAAAAAATCACAACCAATTGGTGAACTTTCTAAAACAGAAGACAGCCACGAGAAAAAAAACCTAGATGTGCCAGAAATCAAAAGAGGCTCCCAGGTCTGAAATCTCATTTCCTGACCATGTCCCCCCCACCCCCGACTTCAAACTCTCCCATCCCCCCTCCCCCGGCACCTATATAATGCTTTTCTGGACAGAGAGCTCACTTATTTAAAAAAAAGAAAGAGGGTCACCTCAGGAGTAATGATTACATTAGAAAATAAGCAGAAACCACACAAAGCCATGAAAACACGAACGTCCTAATTGGAGTAGCTGCTGGAAACACCCGCTGTAAGCAGGTGACTACTTGGCAGGGGGAGGCAGTGAAGGAGGAGGAGAGTTGTCTGAATAAGGCCGGTACATCTGACGTAGATGGTTCGAGGAGCAGCCGATGCTCTAGGCAGGATGTCGACGAAAACGGAGAACCCATCCCGGGAAATGCAGGAGCATAACATGGAGGCAGTGCAGAGGAGCGAGGAGAAAATTAAGGCAAATGTAGCGCAGGACCGGGGGTGTGTAAGGGGGAGGGTCTTTGCCTTTAGTTCAAAATTTGTTCTCTGTCTCTTGCTCGCTCGCTTTCTCTTTTTTGGTAATAGCTGCTTGTCCACAGAGATATGATGCAGATGGCCATCTGAGGTTTTGCTAATACCTGATATTGTGGATAACACAGTAGTCAAAACAAAAGAAAAGAAAAAATTGTTCTCGGCTACCTGAGTTTTCATGACGCAGATGGGTATCTGACATCCAAGACAGGAGTAGCCTGGAAGAGAAAAGAAGGAACCAGTTGGAAGAGACCTCCAGGGTCATCTAGTCCAACCCCCAGCACAATGCAGGAAATTCACAAATACCTCCCCCCACCCACAGCCCCAGTGACCGCTGTTCCACATCCAGAAGATGACAAAAAAACCTTCAGGATCTCCAGCCAAACTGGCCCCGGAGAAAGACTGCTTCCTGACCCCAGCATGGCGATCAGCATTTCCCTGGGAGTGTAAGAAAGGGCCACAAGAACTAAGCACTGATGCAGTCCTTCCTGCCCTCCCTCTCATAATCTGCCTAAATTCACAGAATTAGCATTGTTGTCAGATGGCCATCTAGCCTCTGCTTCAAAACCTCCAAAGAAGGACAATGCATGTGGAGGGGCATGTGGTTTCATTGTGACACATTTTCCTACTCCCAAGCCTCTTTATCCATCCCCAAACAGGGAGATTCTCACAGGAGCAGATATGTCGATAACCAGGACCAGGGCTTTCTTGGTGGCTGCCCCATCCTGGTGGAATGAGCTCCCAGAGGAGATCAGGGCCCTGCGGGACCTTTAACAGTTCCGCAAGGCCTGTAAAACGGAGCTCTTCCACCAGGCTTTCGGGAGCTGCCACCACCACCAACAGTGAACAACTAACAGCCGAATGAGAGAGGGCCCTGGAGCCCTGGAACTTCTACCATCAGCCTAAAGGACCTCAATCACTGCAAGGACAATTAAAAATGAGCACTGCAAGCTGACTGTGAGTTAAGAACACTGAATAGTGGCTGCCACCATCAAACAAACGACGACGACTACTAGCACTTTATTATGGTTTTAGAATTGTTTTAATTGTAACTTATATTTTAATGTAACTTATCCGTTTTTATGTAAGCCGCGCTGAGCCGCCTCTGGCTGGGAGGGCGGGGTAGAAATTCGATAAATAAATAAATAAATAAATAAATAAAATATGGTTCCCTTTTTATATATAGGGATATACAAAAATCTGTGCACGAGGAGGCACAAGTAATAAATCTAATAAATAATTACTTAAAAACAGAGGTCCCAAGACAAAGTTGCCTTCTAAAGTTGCCGGCTATCTCAGGCTTGTCATTAGGGATGCTGGCCGCCATGCACTTATGAAGACTTAACAACTTGATAAAGATATCAATTCAAAAACAGGCCTGTCAAGGGACTTATTTTTGGCTGTTAAAGTGAATGGTTTTCTCTGTCCTTACAGCATAAGAAGATGGCTCGGTCCCTTTAAGACGGTATTGCAGCAGGGTTTATATCCCGCTTGTAATTGTATGTCTCTTAATGTAGTTATACATTTTTGGACTTTATTTGCACTTTCCTTAACAGATTATCTTATAATACCATAAATATTTTTTGCAAAAAACACCCACCAGATTCTGTTTACACTTTTCAAGGTTGCTTTTGTATGTCTGGTTGATCTCATTACCAACAACCTTCTCCCTGCTTGTTTGCTTTTTGTTTTTTTCTAAATTATAGTAAGCAGGCTGCGGGCCAACTTTTGGCACCACCAGGTCGTACAGTTTAACCATTTCCTGTCAAAAGAGTTAAAGGTCATCAAAGCGTCACTACCTTGCTGGCAAAAGACAACTCTTGGCTCCACTCGGTATCTGACCATTATCACATGCAGTTAACTAAGGGATAACTTGATAGTGTCCTATAAGTACTAGCCAAAGGAAATCCAAAGCAGATTCCTCTGTCAAGAAGACAAGACATTCATGTTTGGATCCAGCAATCTGCAAATCTTCCCTGTGTTCTCTCCTCTTCAGCAGTCCTTTCTGATCCCAGGAAGGTTTATTCCTCGGCTTGCAGGAGTCCACATAGGCTAATATTTAGGTTATTATATGTTTTTAAATATATATCCCGCTTTTCTCCTGATCAGCGGGACTCAAAGCAGGTTGGGAAGCTGAAATGGGGGAGAGGAAGGGCGCAAAATCACTCTCTCCTTTCTTTTGTATCGTCATCTTAATTTAATTAATTAGTTTGTTTATTTGATTTATACCCTGCCCTCCCTGCCAGGGCAGGCTCAGGACAGCTTACATAAAATCCAACAAATAAAACGACAATTATAAATATAGCCATAAAAACAAGACTTAAAGTGCTAGTTATCAGCGCCTGGCGATGGCGAGGTAGTAATAGCAGCAGACAAACTAGAAAATACAGTCAAGCAGTTGTTATTACAGTTTGGCGAAGGGCAGGCTATTGATGGTGGCACTGGGTACAGGGTCTTAGTTGTTGGGTGCGGCTCCTTAACTAAAGGCCTGGTGGAAGAGCTCCATCTTACAGGCCCTGCGGAACTGTAAAAGGTCCCACAGGGCCCTAGTATCTTATTTTACTTACTTCATTTGTACCCTTCCTTTCTCCCCAATGGGAACCCAAAGCGGCTTAAGCTGTTCTCCTCTCCTCTGTTTTATCCTCACAACAACTCTGTGAGGTAAGTTAGGCTGGGAGAGTTAGGACCAACCCAAGGCACCGAAGTGAGTTTCCAAGGCACGAGTAGGGGTTTTGAGCCTAGCTCTCCCAGATACTAGCCCGACACTCTTAACCACTACCCCACACTGGCTTAGAGCTGCTACAGGGAGGGGAATATGAGAAAGGATCCATGACTGTCAGCCCTTTCCACTGATGGATCACTGGATTCATCCCGGAGTTCTACAAGGGAGAGAGGGCGACCTACCTCATCTTCCTCTTCAGACACTTTCATGGTGTTATCCGGCAATTTTACAGGCTTCTGATTGTTCGTCCCGTTCATCTCCTCTTTCCCATGCTCTGCTTCCCACTCCTGCAGGACTTCATCTATGTTGAAGCGTCGCCGATAGTTTACAAAAAAGTTTTTCACTTGCACCACGGACTTGTTCCCAATCACGTCGGAGATTGCCTGAACGTCACGGCCGTATTTCCTGATTGCTAGAAAACCAAGGGGGAAAGGGTGGTGAGGCAGGACACCACAGCCTTCATGTGTACCCTTGTACACATGTGTACATGCTCCAAAGCAATACTCCCTCTTAAGTTGTGGGGTCTTGTGAGCAAAAATTCTACTTTGTGAGCTACTGGCATTAAAATTGTGAGTGACTTGGCTACTGCATAACTTAGTTTGCTCTGGAGCCATCCTTCCTGAGCTGAGACAAAAATGTGTGAGCCGGAGGCTAAAAGACTGTGAGCTAGCTCACACTAACTCAGCTTAGAGGGAACATTGCTTCAAAGATAAAACCAGAGGGAGAATAACACTAAACCAGGGTTCACTTTGCCGGGACTCTGTATCTCATCAGAATGAAAGGAGACAGGAGGGCACGGATCGATATGAAATTAAGAATGGGATAACTGAAAAACAAACTCTCTGTTCCGGTATTATCTCCTCCCCTCTGAAGTTTAATATAACACTGAGAAATGGGCTTATAGCTGACTATATTTTACAGCTTACAGCCCCACCATTAAGACGTTTCGACACTTTACCATCTGTGGTCCTTTATGGTAGATTTGCAAATGTCCCCTACCCTTAAAGGACCTGTCTTTGAAGCAGCAGGAAAACAGAATCGATTACCCACATCTTGCTTAGTTGTGAATTCTACGATAAAATATGGGATGTCCTAATCAGCCCTCTTTTGATCAATAGGCATGGCTGTCCAGAAGAGAGACTAGTATCCTTCCTTCTATTAGATCTCCGCCCTCATATCACCTTGGCGGTGGCGAGGTTTTTATTGCTATGAGGGTCCGAGAATATAATGTTAAAGCTCTGGTGGAATGACTGCCTTTGTATATTTAAAATCTGTGGTTTTTATGATGCTGGATTTTTCCCCCTTTTTTAATCTATGTCAATGAAGGTTTCGACTGAGTGACTGAGTGGGATATGTTTGCCCCAGTGGATCTACAATGGTGTAAATGGAACATGCCAACTTCATCACAATTGTCAAACCACAGTATGCAACCCAAAGTTTCCTTATAATCAGGCTTATAAGTAAAAGGTTTTATTGTTTTATGGTCCGTGGTCTATTTCGCGGGGATTTTTAGGGTCCTTACTAAATGGTTGTTTTATTGTTTTTATATGCCCTGCTTTTTTAATGGCTTGCTTTATTTTTATATTGATAATTTATTATATTTTTATGGTATTGCTTTTATTTCTAAGCCAAGTTGAGTGTAACACTGGAAAGGCAGCATATAAACTCCCTAAACAAATAAGAAAAGCAGATTAATCGCGTGATTAAAAAAAATAAAAATACAAATGTTCTGCATCATCAGCTGCCTCTGTGTCAGGACCCTGGATGTCCTACCTTGGTGGTCTCCCAATCCAAGTACTAACCAAGGCCAACTCTGCTTAGCTTCCAAGATCTAACAAAATCATGCTAGCCTGGGCTATCTAGGTCAATACTCAGCTTTGTAAATTGTGTAAATTCAGCAAACTTTATATGTTTTGCATAATGCTTTCCACTTTTGCTGGGAGATTATAAGGAACTGTGGTATAGCGAAACTCTACTAGTCTTCTCATTATTTCACTCCTTTTCTAAGGAACCTAAGGCAGTGTACATGTTTCTCCTTTCTCCCTTTTATTCTCATAACCTCTTTGCAAGGTGGGTTAGGTTGAGTAAATTTGGCTGGCCCACGGTCACTTTTTGTTGCAGAGTGAGAAAATGGAACTTGGATCTCCCTAGCTACACCACCAGCCTGCCTGGCTACACCACCAGCCTGCCTCAGCAACAGTGCAATCCTAAAAAGATGCTTTCCAATGAGTTAAGCCCCGCTAAGTAAAATGGGACTTATTTTCTGAGCAGATCAACTTAAGACTGCTCCTTGAATCTCCTCTCCAGCAACTAAGACCTCACCAGGTTGCTGTCCATACCCTCAAGACCACCTTCACAGGTATAACAACTACATACTTGCTTTTTTCTAAACAAAACCCAAAATGGTTGGGAATGCTGAACACCCCATTTTGCATCCCCATGACCATCCCTCCAATATCCGGCAAACAGATAAAGCCGCAATGATAACTCTGCTTGCAAACCTGTAGCAGTATTTGTAGTTGTTGCTGGAAGTCTTCGACCACAGGAAGGGAGGTACATAGGTGGGTCTATTACTTTCAACAAAATACCTTTCATCTTACCAGCTAACAGGTCACAAGATTCTGCTGTCACAAGATTCTGCTGACACACACACACACACCCGCTATCACTAGAGTCGGAGCTCTGTGGAAGCCCTGCCACCGTGACAATCTCTGCCCAGTGGAGCAGCTGGGGTCTCAGCCTCTTGGGCGGGGGAGGGGGGTTACGCCACCACACCCTCACACCACACCCTCACACTCCTCCTGGGTCGCTAGCCATCTCTCTCTCTGGGCGTGGCTCTGCAGACCTCAGGGCCGTCCTCCCCGACCTGTCCTAGCTCCCTCCTTTTATACCCTTTCCCACTCCCAGCCGCTCCCCTTGGGCCCGCCCCCGACTCTCCCCCTTGTTGCCCCGCCCCTGCACTTAACTGGAGACGCCGGGCCTTCCCGCGGGCAGGTTCTCTGCTCCGGGTGCTCCCTCCCCCATGGAGTGCAGGTTAGGCTTGTGGCCAGGGCTGGGATGCCGGGCCCAGAAGTGCAGGCGGGCCCTTGCGCCGGGCCTGTGGCCTGACGCGGTCTTCTCCACCCCCTAGTGGGGCCTCCCTTCCTCTACCTCACAGCGGGTGGTTTCAGAGTGGCGTAGACTGCTCAGCATCTCCCTGCCCGCTGTGTCGTTGTCCTGCCTCCTTGTCTCCTCTGGTCCACGTTCCCCGGGCTTCTAGGTGAGTGCAAGGTCGGCCCCAGGTGGCGATTTTGGGGTCAGTGGAGAGGGAGTCCCATCATCGGGACAAAGTGCAAGATGTTTCAAACTGCATTTGGCATTTCACCAGTTAGTTGTTCTGGATGACTCTGGTCAAAGCATCTAGGCATCTCTAGTTAACTTTCCTGTATCAGATCATCTAATTCCTGGCAAGAGGTATACCCCAGTAACATCTCTGGTTTGTTATTGGTACAATATACAAGTGAGAATCACTGCTTACATTTTAATCTTTTGTTAGAACATAATTAGTCCGCATCTATGCCAAGGGAGGAGCTGTTGCATCATGGGATATCCTCCATCTGAGCAATGCAGCACATGTAGGGGGATCCAGACAACTTTCTCACTATTTATTTATTATTTATTTAAGTTTATATCCCACCCTTCCCAAATGGGCTCAGGGTGGGTAACATCAAAATGCATAGCAATCAACACCAAATTAATACAATTAAATCTAAAAACAGCTAACACCAGAAAAACAATTATAAGATCGTGAGTAAATAATTCAAACTGCTCCCCCAAACCAGACTGATGGTACTGGAGTAATACTCAAATATTTCCAGGACTCCACATGGGCAGATGGTCAAGACAGCCTCTACACAGGGCAGCCTCTATACAGGGAGGCCAATTATTTGGGTGTCCACCACCTCAACTAAAAGCTTGGCTGAACAGCTCCATTTTACAGGGCCTATGGGACTGTAATAAGTTCTGCAAGACCCTGATCTCAAGTGGGAGCATGTTCCACCAGGAACTAGTGGAGGCTAAGTGGACATCCTTTGGGCCAGGGATAACCAGTAGATGTTGATCAGTGGAGCGCAAAGTTCTCGGGGGGGGGGGAGAATATGGGGAGAGGTGGTCCCTTAGATATGCAGGTCCCAGGCTGCTCAGGGCTTTAAAGGTTAATACCAACACCTTGAAACAGATCCATTACTTAATAGGTAGCCAGTGCAACTGGCGGAGAAAGAGGGAATTTTTTAGCCAAGAGGGAAGTTTTCTGTCATGAAACAACAAAGGGTCACCCCTTCCTTGCCCCACGTAGGAATCGATTTGTAACTGCATACCTTGCACAGCAAGAAGCTGCTCGTCTGTGGTCCAGCGCGCATTAAACTTCTGTGTAACCTAAGTGTCACCAAAAAAAAAAAAGGAATCATCTACTTAGGCAACAGGCCTGCCTTCAAATCCCAGCCTGACAACTGCATACAAATGAACAAACTGCTTAAGCTGTAAGAGGGAGAAGAGTAATTTGTTAAACAAAGACTGCATTAATCCGTCTCAGCAAAAAGAACAGTTAAATGGCAGAATCCATTAATTATAAACTCTGGTGTTGACTGGCTGAAGGGAAGGAAGGAGAAGAGGAGGAGGGGCCAGTCAATCTGAGCTGAGAGTCAGAGGCCTGGATCAACCCGGTTTATCTGCCAAGCCCAACCAACCTCCAATCTGCTTATGACGACTTATGGGTTGCAACCAATGCTCCCTCTAAGCTGTGGAGTCCTGTGAGCAAAAATTCTACTTGGTGAGCTCCTGGCATTAAAGCTGTGAGCAAGCGATTTGGCTACTGCATAAATCAGTTTGCTCTGGAGCCCTCCTTCCTGAGCTAAGGCAAAAATGTGTGAGCCGGAGGCTAAAAAACTGTGAGCTAGCTCACACTAACTCAGCTTAGAGGGAACACTGGTTGCAACCTAGGAATCCCTTCTGCTAATGGAGGTGACTGCCTCTGATGTAAGGAGAACGTTCATCAGTCAAGGTCTCCTTGAGCCATGGCAAGAAGGCAGCATCACGAGAGGAATGGAGTCACCCGATTCATCTACAGTATCAGAACCACACTCAGGCACAAATGAATCTGCTTCATACTTTAGTCCAGGGGTCTCCAGTGTGGTTCCCGTGGGTGCCATGCTGCCCACCAACACCTTTTCTGGTGCCTGCCAAGAGTTTTTAGAAAGTGGGAGAGGCCAGATGGGGTTTTTTTTGCCCAGCAAGGCTTCTGATTGAGCGCTGGAGGTTTGACTGGCTCTACGGATCATTAAACATGTTGCTATGGCAGCAGCGGCCAACACAGCCCAAGGATCTTCACTGTGTGACTGAAGGTAAGCTGTGGCAGCCATTTTGTGGCCTGTGCCCATCACACTGTGTCAAAATTCCAAAGTTGCCTACAGGCTCAAAAAGGTTGGGGACCCCTGCATCAGTCCATCTAGGTCACTATTGTCTACTCAGACTGGCAGCGGTGCCTCAGGGTCTCAGGCAGAGGACTTTCACATCACCTACTGTTTGATCCTTTTAACGGGAGATGTCAAGGATCGAACCTGGGACCTCCTGCATGCAAAGCAGAGGCTCTTCCACTGAGCTACAGCCGTTCCCCACTGATATTTAGCATTCCACACTTGTTATGTGTGTATGTGTGTGTGTATGCACTCCCAAGTGCTGAAATTGCTTTGTGTCTATTCTCTGTGTAATCCATGAAATGGCGGATAAAGGAAGAGAACTTGTTTAAGATCAGGCCACCAATTCTGAGAGAACACACCAAGTACTTTAATGGATCAGGCTGATTGTATCACAGTTAATAAGACATCCTATCCTTCCTCTCCTATGCACAGACCCTACAGGGGTGCCCAGTATAGGAGCACACTGATTATGCAGTTGCAAGACTTACTCTATCATGGTTATGTTCCAAGCAGCCAAACTCTCTCACACAAAGAGTTTCAGATGCTCTTGGGGCACAGTCACTGATCTTGGTGGTGCCTGGGGCCTCTAGCCAGTAAGGTAAAACTCGCTAAAGTTCCCACAACCCCCACACCTTTATAGAAGATAAAAGCACAGCGCTCCACTTGTATATAAACTTACCTCTGGCAGCCTATATTCTTCGATCCCCCCTTCAAGTTTCTCTTTCAGAGCACTGTTTGTTTGCTTGATATTTTGAATCTGAAAAGAAAGGTTTTCTATCAATGTGGATAAAAGCAACTAAAAATAAAAATAAAGCAGCCTTTTCTTTCAGAAAATCACCTGCAAGCTCTGATCGGCAATTTTCTGTAGCACACTCTCCTTCCTGGGGGGTATGGGGGGTGAGGCAGAAGCAAACGTGGAACTTAAATTTTGTCACTGCTGTTCCCTACAGAGCTGAAACACACCTAGGGAATGATGAGGGCTTAAGGAACTGAAGAGGTACACCTGCTCAGGTTCTAAGAGAATCGTTAAAAGATTGAGGTATGTCAGGATGATTTCAGACACAGATGAAAGGGCATAAGGCCCTGAAGGGAATAACTGGGGAAGTGTGTTCAGGCCTTTGCCCTTTATCTCAAGAATTTAAATACAGACATGTAAAGTGCTACTGAGTGCCTGACACACAGGGACCTGCACCTGAATGATTTACGACAGGACTCTCTTTCCTACAGCTCCTCCATGTTTCTCCTCACCACCATAATCTTTGATGTAAAAAAACACCACCTCTTTTAAAAATTATTTTCTGCACTATAATGCATTGGAAGAGCTCTGACTCATGAAAACCTATCCTGGAATAAACTTGGCTAGGCTTTCTCCCCCCCCCTTTTTTTTTGTTTTACTTTGTAAAATAAAATTTTAAACATCACTCCATGTTTTAAACTTAAAAGCCAACTAGAAAACATGGGAACCCAATCTCGAAGCGTATTGTGCAGACTGGCAGTTTCAAGACGCAGCAGGAAACCCGAGGCGACAATCTGCAGTATTCACTGCGTTCAATGACATCATGGCATGGCGCTTTTAGTTCAAGAGACAGTTACAGTTAAGGAGGAGAAGTGGGTTGCCGGCACACAAGTATTAACTTCTAGTTTTGAGCTCAAGAAGAGTTGAAAGCAGCAAATCAAGAGATTATTTGTTATGCAGTGACATAAACAGATAATTCCAGTAGTTTTTCAATCAGTGTTGTGGTTCTGCAGCAGCGGACAGATTTTTATGAGTTTTATGCTCATGAAAGATGTCTTTTTACACGTTTCTGCTATGTTTTTTTAATAATCTCATTGGTTTGTTCCTCTTTCTGATTCTTCTGATTTTTTTGTAAGTCGCCTCGGGCCATTTTCTGAAATGACGGCATAGGCATTTTCTATGTAATTAAAGAACAGAGTCGGCACCTGCCAATTTTTTAAAATGTTCATTTTTCATTTCCAGTCACTCACAAGGCCTTCAAAATCCACAACAGAATTCTTCACTATCGAAGAGATTAAGAAGCAGGACTGAGCCAGATCTATTATTTGTAGCCATAGCCGAAACAGACTTGAAATCCAATATGAAAACATCATGAAATGAAGAAACAATACTGATTCTGTTTCCAGAAATGATGGTAGAAGTGGCAACAGTTCTGGCATCAACCAGCCTGTAATACTGTGCTGGAACTGAATCTTTGGCTGGTCCACCAAAGTCCATCTTGTCTACTCGAGACTGGCGGTGGCTCTCCAGGGATTCAGACTGAGGTTCTTCACATCACCTCCTATCTGATCTTTTAAACTGGAGGTGCCGGGCATTGAAGCTAAAACCTTCTTCATGCCAAGGAGATGCACTTCCACTGTGGCAGAACATCTGCTTAGCATGCAGGAGGCCCCAGTTTCAATCCCTAGCATACCTAGTTAAAGGGGTCATCTGGCAGGTGATGAGAAGGACCCAGGAGAGCCACTGCCAGTTAATGGAGACAAGACTGACCTTGATGGGCCAATGGGCTGATTCAGTATAAGGCATCTGTTCATGCATGGAAGCCACAGCCCCACATACTTATTTAGTACATTTGTTTTGCACTCTTCCTCTATCTAAGGCACTGGTTCTCAACCTTCCTAATGCCGCGACCCTTTAATATACTTCCTCATGTTGTGGTGACCCCCAACCATAAAATTATTTTCGTTGCTATCATAAGACCATCGAAAATTTGCGTTTTCCTGCGGTCTTAGGCGACCCCTGTGAAAGGGTCGTTCGACCCCCAGAGGGGTCGCGACCCACAGGTTGAGAACCACTGCTCTAAGGAGCTTAGCACTGTACACATCATTCCTCCAATTCATCTTTGCACCCACACTCTGAAGTAAATTAGGCTGAGAATGAGTGACTGGCTCAAGGTCATCCAACGAATTTCACCAGAAAGCAGGGATTTCACTAAACTATGCTGGTATTTATTCTAAAATTGTATCCTTAGCAGTTTAAGCTGTACAGCATGGATAGTGTATTCAGATCTAGAAACTGGCTCAAAGAAAAGGAAGCAACACTGTAAAGTACCTGTAAGAAGAGGTTATAGGTAAAGCATGCCATCAACCTCGCGGGGTTTTCAAAGCAAGAGCAGAGGTAGTTTGTCCTTGGCCTTCTTCTGCATAGCAACCCTGGACCTCCTTGGTGGTTTCTCATCCAAATACTAACCAGGGCCAACTCTGCTTAGCTCTGACATGATTGGGCTAGTCTGGGCTATTAGGCTGCTTCAAGAAGAGGCATACTCCTCTGATGGAAAGAGAATGATCCCTCTACAATAAAAGAATACAAGCATGGACCGCTTCAAGAGGGAACTGGATAAACATATGGAACTTCAGTGGCTATTAGCCACAAGGTTTAGATAGGAACTCTCTGGGGCAAGTGATGTTCTCTATTCTTGGTGCTGGGGGGGGGGGCAACAGTGGGAGGTCTTCTAGTGTCCTGGCCCCACTGGTGGACCTCCTGATGGCACCTGGTATTTTTGGCCACTGTGTGACACAAAGTGTTGGACTTGATGGGCCATTGGCCTGATCCAACATTGGCTTCTCTTATGTTGTTATACAATGCATGGGTAAAAGAGGCATGGGTACAAGACGGGTGTAGTTTCTAAGACAGTACCTGCCACCTGTAATTTTGGGAACCTGAAACACTTGAAAACTACTGCCCGACTGAGTCACTTGAACTGCTCTGCCCAGTAAATGCTTCCATTTGAGGATCCCTGCTTCCAAATGAGAGGAATTCAGAGAAACATAGTTGTTGCAGATTTTCCAGGCTGTATGGCCATGGTCTTGGCACTGTAGGACCTCATGTTTTGCCAGCAGCTGTGGCTGGCATCCTCAGAGGTATAACACAGAAAGACAGAGTACTCTCTGTGTCAAGGTGAGAAGAAAAATGGTAGGCAGGTAATTTATATTTACTCAGGAAGGTGGGGTAGGGCTGAGTCATTATCTTGTAGGAGTTCCCCAGGCTGTGAAATGCTAATAGAGGAGCTTTCTTGAGGAGGTTCTTTTGCATATGGATTGGCTGTTGAAATTCTAATCTTATCTGTAGTGCTATTGGAAGAACTAGAGCATTTTGTGTTTTTCAGGCAGAAAACCATGCCCTTAAGCTCTCTTCTTTCCTGTTGAAATTGTGTTTATATTTATGAATTTCAATGGCTTCCCTGTGTAATCTGACATGGTAATTGGATGTGTTGTCCAGCCTTTCAGTGTCTTGGAATTAAACACTGTGTCCTATTTGAGTTATGTTCACCCACTGCTGATTTTTCAGAGAAAATTACCAACATGACCAGATAACACTGGGGAAGGAACACATCCTTCTTCATAACACCTATGGGGAGGGAAAACAGCTGGTAATGAGCCACACTAGGAGGGGCTCATGTCTCCCTTGGCAACAATTCACGCCTGGCACAAACCTCTCTCAATCCAGAAAGTCAATTTGCCTGGAAAAGTAACTCCTGCATTTGGAGAATCACCTTCAGACAAAACACGTGAAGGAGAAAGAGAGACCTCGTTTGCTGCATAAGAGCAGTATGGCAGAAACCATGTCATACGCTCTGGCCTCAAACACATGGAAGTTTGCTACCCCACCCCCAAGACTGAAGTGGGGTGGGGACACTGACCTAATACAAATGCAAAACAATTCTCTAATATGAATGTCCTCCAAAAAACAGAGAGAGAGAGGCAAATTCATTCCAGAGGACATAGTTTGCAGGCTCTAATTTATGGAAGTCCACAGTAGCATCTTGGGAAAGAGACAGGAATCTGGCGAGCCCGGCTCTGTTCCCTTCTGCACTGTAAACAGAAAGCCAAGCTGAAAAATAACTCCGTTCCAGCACACGCTGCTCAGCGGACAGCTTCTTAATCAAGTCTCATCCTGATGTGAAACATCTCATCCAAACTATAAATCCCCCGGGGAGCCAGAAAATTGAGACCGATGGCAGCTCCTCTTTTTTTAATTTTTAAATGCATTGGATGATTAAAAATAAGCTTCATTTTGT